AGACCAGCTGAAAACAGTAAAGGGGCTCTACTTTAGCTTACACAGGACTGCCTTGTCCTTCCATCCATTTTTTGTGTCCATCATGAACCTACCGACTCTGGTCGCAAATCCACTTTGACTTTGTCTCCATCCTCAAAACCCTGAGGGGCCTGGTTCTGCATGAGAAGAGGAATGGCAAAGTTGGGATCCATCTGCGGTCCGTTCTTCCATCTCTCCTGGTGCTTTTGAGACTCTGTAGTAGATGACATTAAAACAGAACTATTACATTATTCGTCATTTTAGCAGATGCTTTCGTGTACAAAACTGACTTGCGGCATTTTTACTACAGTAACAGAAAGGGTTCCACCTACAATCTTCTGCTTACCTGTCCAGATCTAGAACCACTAAGCCACATTATTGCCACACCAACTAAGTTATGAGAATTATTGATGATACATTTCATGTCAAGCATTACATCAATGAATATGGATTTAAATACTATACAAACTACTACTGCATAGAACCACATGGATTATTCCATTAGCCCTTGTGAAAAAGATGTACACTTTAGCATACTTAAAAAACAAAACAAAAACAAAAGCTTATTATGGAAATAATACACTTTAAAAGAATATACTCAAGTGCAAACTGAATGTAATGTTTCAAGACCCTGAACTGTATGTTATTTGCAATTAAATGAAAAGGTATTATAGTTTACATTTATATTAAACAATTAGTTGAACTTGAAATTGCTTTTTTGACCCATTTTAGTACATCTTTATGTGTAACTTCATAATTCTATCATCTTTGAAATATGATTAAACAATACTGTTGAATGCACCTACAAGCATTTTTGGTAACTAAAATATACTTTTAGTAGAAATGACAGACTATTTTAGCATATTTCATTTCTGTTGAAACTTGTATTTAAGCATATTTGTAATAACATATTTGTAACGATGGCATTGTGATTTGGTACATTTAAAATATATTTCATATATTTATTACTAAACACACTACAGTTAGAATTATAATCAGGTACTTTACATGTACTTTAATATGTTACTCAACACATCAAAATGAGTGTTTTTTTTAACAATATACTTCTAAGATTTGAAGCACACTACAAGTGCAAAGGAAACCCACTGAAAACCTAAAGCAAAGCTGGCATCTCAAAATTAGACAAGGTTATGTTTTAAAACCTAGTGACACTTAACATTTAAGGGCATCTTAGGCCATGTTTTACAGTACAGTGTCAAAATTGTCTAAATACCATGGAATTGAATAGTTACAATACTCACGTACTGTAGTGTTATTACCATAGTAAGTTACTTCCGAGATAATACCATAGATAATTTAACTTTCTGGTAATTTTACATTAGTGAATGAATGCCCCCTAGGTAAGGTAGGCATCTTACTAGGTTTTGAAACACACCGAACCCAGCAGAGCGAATAAGAGTCGAGCAACACACCCTCGATGAGCTCTTTGACGGCTTGAGACTCCACCGTGTCCTGCTCCTGCTGGGACGGGTCTCTGCTCTTGTCTTCGCTGCTCTTGTCCCCTCGCTCAGCATCCTGCCGGTACCAGCGGTTCTTGTGGATCAACGGGATGACCAGCTCCTTCGGTTTCTCCACCGGCTTGGTTCTGTAGAAGTGACAGACACATAAGAGTTGAAGCATATAATCAATGTCATACTCCTTTCAGTTAGATTATTAGCTAACCTAGCTAACGTTAGCCTTCAACTCACCCTTTAAGTTCTTTCCCTTCGACTTCAACTAAATAATCTCGCTCTTCCGCTTTGCCAGCTTTAACCTTACTTAATGTTTTACTAAAAACGAAAGATATTGGACCAGATTTTTTGCCTTCATTATCTTGGCTAATATTACTATTCACTGATTCACGCTCCTGATGCTCCGGCACCGCCATGTTTGTTGTGTGTTGTAGTCGCTGGTAAATGTAGTTTTACTGTGCCCACATCATTATGCATTAAGGTCTCAAAAGACTACGATTCCCATAATGCAACAAGTTACGCACGACTATACTAATGCGTTTTAATTTTTTAGATACATTTAAGAGGAAATATAGAGTCTAACATTATTTAAGCATAAATCATTGTTCTGTTATTGGGTCACTAAAATATTATTCAGTGTCAGCCTTTGCATCCTGGGGTCCCTAAGTAGATTTTCAAAAGGGGCCCCCTACATACGGTTTCACCTAA